CAAGAATTATTAAGTTTTCTAAAAACTAAAATTGTTAATTTTATTTTATTTTTAAATTAATATTTTTTTTTTCCTAAGAACTACAAGTGAAGAGCCTACCATTAAAGACACATAAAAACAAAAAACAAAAATACAATCTCTTAACTCTAAACTTTACAATTTTAATACTAAATTATTGTTAAGAGCCAATCTTAAGAGTCTACCAATAATGTTGCTCTAAAAACACGAACAAGATTCTTGTAATTAGGTTAAACTCCGTAGAGTATTCTATTGATGAGGTAATTTTTCTATAGCTACAAGAGGAGTAGCATCTAAATTATGTATGTTCATATTTTGACATTATCATAAATAAGAAAATATTTTATATTCCTATATTCTAAGAATAATATTAATTTCTATAATTGTTTTATTATGTCGGGTAGCACCAGACAGTAATTTTGTTGCCAGAAAGAACGATATATCAAACATCTTTTTTTTTTTGTCGTCTAGATTTATTATTAATTGCAAATTATGAGAACTGTTATATAGACGATTCTACAACTGACAATTCCTTCCGACCCTTACTAGATTCACGACAGACTACACTTCCTTCTTCGTAATCTTGATGAATACCTTCAATGATCCACAACCTGGCGACACTTCCTTCTCTGCGTAGAATCCTGGCGAACGGCTATAATTGTACATCGCTGGAGATCTCTTGCACACTTGCCTCCATTAATCTGCAAATTTGTTAATAAATCGCAATACCTGGGACTCGAACCCCAGACCTTTTGGTGTAGAAGCATTAATCAACCCTTGGTCAACCAATGGGCCAAGGAGGCTTCCACATATATCAAACATCTTTTTAGAATAAAATGTTTAATGATTATTCTTAAATAATACCAATTATATGGTTGTACGGCTTATTTTTTTTCTCCATATTTGCATAAATCGTGTTTACTAATAACTTTGAATTTTTTTCGTTTTGAGAAGTTCGACTTTTGGATTTTTTTAAATTCAGAAAATATAAAACACTTTATATAAATTGAATCTATATATGTCATACCAAAAAAAAAAATCAAATCTATATATACTAAAATGAGGAAGGTTTTGTGTTATTGTAATTAGCTTTTTTTTCTAATCTCTCCTCTGTATCTCTACGTATATCTGTACATTACTCATATAATAAGCAATTCTTTCTAAAATTTAATTATAATTTTTAGATTTTTTCGTAGAATGAATTGATTTATTAGATGAGAAATATATATATATATATATATATATATATATATATTATATTTTTGCAGTCACTTTGGTGAAGGGTGGGTAAAAATGCTTCCGGGTTATTTGGATATCCGATCCGTTTCAAAAAATTATTCACAAAAAAATTTGTTGGGTCGGGTTATATTTAACTCAACTCATACACTGGATATTCCATATTTAATAATTTAGATATTTAGAAGATTTGATTAAGATTTATAACTATGATTCTCCTATCATCTTTGTTTGATTTGTTTTAACTGTTTTGAATCATCATATAATACATAAAGTAACATATACTGTGATTCGAAATTTTAAAAACAGACATATATTATCCAATTGACGAAAATGTGTGTTCAACGTTCTACATCGATTAAAATATTTAGACAATGATTCAGAATCATATCATAAATAAGAACATTAATAAAATAAATGAGTTTTTTGGCTGGACGGGTTTGGCGGGATGGGTTTTTGAATCAACAATAATAAAAAAATTAAAATATCCTTAATCCGCCGTTTCAATACGGATTAAATCATTATTTTTTTTAATACCACAAATATTAGACATATTAAATTAGTCTCATTTAGAAAAGATTGTATAAAACTAAAAATTGTCCCGTGGTATAAAGTTACTTAATAAAAATATTTACAAAAATTTTAAAGTATCATTAACATGCCGCTTTAATATATATTAAATCTTTAGTTTATTAAAATATAAATGTCTTAGAGAAATGATTTGATTTGTATACTTTTTTATATAATAAATAATCATTAAATTTTAAAATAAAAACAAATTGCGGGACGAGTTAAGAAATTACGGAACGGGTTATATTTCGGAAAGAATTTATATTGCGGACGAATTTGAATTAATATTTATATACCATTTTAATACGGGTTAAATCTTCAGTTTATTAATAATTGTCTCATGGACTCGTGATATACCCTTACTTAATAACAATTGTAAACTATAATATAAATAAATATGTTATAAGGAGATATAATTTACAAAATATTTTTATACTAACTTTAAAATTAAATCATCCCGCGGTGTACCGCGTGTTAAAATCTAGTATATATAATTATATATCTAATGATAAACAAGAGAGATAGGGAAAATCTAATTACAATGACACCCTTAACACATTAATTTATATCTTCTATAACTGGTATAAAAAAAAAGTTAGTTTGAATAATAAAAATTATAATTGAAACAAATATCATATGCGAGCTCAAATAGATTTAGAGAAAGTAAGGTATATAAAGAAAGATATATTTAGTGTTTACAAAAGCTGGAAACTGTCCATCACTTAAAGATGTGATTTTTGTCTGATTATCCCATATCTAAGAGTCAATGCGGTATATTTTCTTATATATTTTCTCTACTTTTAAAAATATCTTTCTCTTATATTCTTCCTCTTAGTTAGTAGATACGCCCAAAATTAACTACTGGCTAAATTGATGTGTAATCTTTAAGCTTCCCCGTAAGATATATATTCTTTCGTAATTGTGATGAAATAATTAATTACTTATGACCAACAAAAAGTAGGTCAATATTGTATGACATATATAAGTACTAATTAACAAGTTGGAAGATTTGTTTCTTTTTTTTTGCCTCGTTTGTAATCCACATGAAAACTTTTCTTGTATGTCAATTTCCCATATTTAGTTTTTCTTTTCTTTTTGTACAAATTCAACATCTATCTGTTCGCTGCATTTTTCTTAGACCTTTAAAAATAGAAATTACGTAATTACTTTTCTTAAGTTCTTACGTTTGACCAAATCTTTCTGTTCCCTTTTTTGTTTTTCAAATTAGATATTTTACCAATTAAGGAGACCAAAATAGTTTTACCATCTAGACGATTCACAAATCACAACCGTGGGCAAAAGGTGGATTAGTAAAATTAAGAAGACCAAAATAAAGTAATCTTTTTTATTAACAAAAAAAATAATGTAAACTTTTTTATTAAGAATATTTTTCTTAATATACTATTACAAGTGATAAGTACAACAAAGACAAATCACTTATGCCTTACCAATAATGTAATAAATATTTAAATTATATATTTATGCAATTTTTTTTTAATTTCCTCCAATATCATTGAAGAAAGCACACAACATTTTATTTTTTAAGCACAACTTTTCAAAGAGAAAATCACGGAAATAAATTTGGATTCATGATCTCTCTATATATCCAGGTGGTTTAAAATCATAAAACAAGAATGATAGAGATCTTAAGAAAGCTAAAAACATGGAGTTTGAAAATTCCTAAAATCCCCAGAACTTTTCTCACTACGCCAGAAGAGCCGATTTTGTCTCAGATTTACTTTCCTTTAATCTCTCCTATTTTTAATGACTATTATTTCTTTCTCCTTTTGCAACATATTTTTCTCCACCACCTTTTTTTCCTTCACCATTATAAATTGCTCTCCATCATTTCTCTTTTGTATATTCATAAACTAGAGAGACCAAGAGGCATAAAACACACTAAGTGATAGAGAGAACACATCAAAATGTGTAGTAAAACGAGTAGTGTAAGTTATGGAAACAGAGAAGATGATGATGATGATGATTACTCTGTCTTGTGTCCGAAGAAACAGAAACATAATAATGGAGGAAGAAAAAGAGTCCCTCGTAGAGGACCTGGTGTTGCTGAACTCGAGAAGATCCGTCTCGGAGAACAACACATCTCCACGGCCGCACCATTTTCTCGTCCTCACCCTCCTCCCCTGGAGAAGTCTCCAACATTCACTGATAGAACCGGTCTGGTTTACCCGTTTTCGTCTTATTTCACTGCTCGATCTTTCCCTAGTGATTTGATTCCTCCGGCTCCAGTGTTTCAGAGGAAACATGATTCGTCTCTTCACTACTTCCCTCCGGTAAATAGACAAAAAAAAAATATATATATATATATATATATTCAAAGATGAAAATTTTACATTTTATGTGATACTGATTTTGTGTTTACAGATGAATCTACCAAATCAAGGATCTGGAGGATTTTATCAGTTTATAGATCCTCCTTCAAGCCAAACATCTTGTCTTGACAATGTCACTCAATTTCTAGATGAAGAAAAGGTAATGTTTTGAGTTTATTCCTTAAGAAACAAAATCAAGTAATCAATTTGAGTTTAATTTTTACTAATCTATTTTGATCTTTGACAGATCTCGGCTGCGAAAAGGCCATGGCATCTTATGGCAGATACCGCGAAATGTAGTGTTGGACCGACTATAACTAGCTCAAGGTCTGTTTTTAGGGTTAATCAGTTTCTTGAGGTATAATATATGTATAGAAAATCTAAGTTCAAATTAAATTTCTTTGTTTGACATTTTTTTTTTTTGGAATTGTGTTTCAGAGATGCTAAACAAATCAGATCACTAGACCTAAGATTGAAAAGTCATATTCAAGATTCAGGAACCACAATTAGGAATCCAATCACTATTGATTCTCCTTCTTCAGCCACTGTTCCTACAACGATTTTTCCTAATTGTCCACTCGATTTCCCGCGCTTTTTACAGGTAACGCAGTTTCTATATGTTTCTATCAGTTTCAAATCCATTTCCATCTTCCTAAAATTTTAAGTTTGGACAGAGAGAAGAGGATGATCATGAAATCATACAACGAAAGAGCGTTACAAATTTTCCCTTAAACAGAAAACCATTCTACAGCTTCTTGCCCTCAAATGACCAGAGTATTCGCGACCAAGATCGATCCCTAAGCTTGAGAACAGAGAGATATGACACAGTCCCTGATCACGGCATTGATCTTCGCCTTAAGTTATAATAAAATTATTTTCTAAGCAATTTTCAAAACTTTGAGTCTTTACTCCATGAGTTTGTAGTTTCGGATAAATATGTAACAAAAGATATGCCAAAGACTTGGATTAGTTTTGTTTTATTCAACAAAAAAAAAAAAAAATGATGCGAGTGAAAGGTATTTCGCATTCAAGATTAATAATCAAAAGACTATATATAATTGGAGACAATACTTAACTTCAAAGATAAAAACATTATTTTACAATCTCCGAATGTTTTACACCAAGATCATATAAACATAACACATGAAAAAAAGTATTGAAACTTGTAAAAGAATTGGTAAGGTTTTCATTGAGTTTCTCATTTCATATATCTAGACTTAAGAAATGGAGAAGAGAGACAAAGTAGAGAGCAATGGCCAACACACATGTCCAAAAAGGGGTAAGTCGATCTCACGTAAGCCGGTATGCCTATTAAAAAGCCAACAATCACAACAATTAATGAGAACTTCTGTAGATAATAGTCAATCCTCTCGCGTATACAATCACCAATATACTTGAAATTCCAAGCAGATTATCCATCGTAACATCACTGTAGATCTACAAAAAAAAAAAACATTTACATTTTGAGTTTTGCGTTTCTATATCGAGTTTAAGTAATGGAGTTTGAGTAAAAATAACCTCAGAAAATGTATCAAAATGTGATTCTGTCCTTGTATTTCTTGCGACAGAAGTGAGCGGACAAAACGTTCTTTAAGTTTCCAACCAATGAGATCACTGCAAAGACGACATAGAAGGAAGGAACTCCAGCTGATACCGACAATAACCCGATGTTCTTTATGAGGTCTTGCAAGAAACATGACAATCATGATTCTTACAATTTAATGTTCTCTTTGAGAAAAACTTAACAAAAAGGCTATTAGATATATACAGTATACCACATTACCGGTTTCCTTTATCCGGTTATGTTAGATTAATTATACGGTTTAGTCTCATTATGATTTGTATATAAACTCACTTTGTACAACATTCATTGATGAATGAGAAAGCCTTTATTTAGTATGTCTTCCTAATATGGTATCAGAGCCCAGGCCCAATTTCGATTGTGGACCACCCGTGGATGTCCAGTCCCACAAACTTCACGCTTCAGATGTCCAGTCCTGAGCGTGAGGGGGGGGGGTGTATTAGAATATTGTCCCACATCGGTTGGGTTTGTGATTCATGGGCAATATATATGTGTTGTAGCAATCCTCCTCCCTTGAGCTAGCTTTTGGGTGTTGAGTTAGGTCCATTACTAATAAAGGCTTTCTTTTGGTTGTTCCACCTTCAAAACTCCAAAATCCTCCTGCAATTGATTTACACTAATCAGAAGAAAACCTAAATGGAATATTTTATTTACTTACAAAAAATTCTCACCACTTTGACACTCAGTGTTATCAAAGCTGAATTTGTATTGTTTCAACCATTTAGCAATTCCTAGTTCGAATTCACTCTCGCCTATTTCACGTGTCTATATCGAAATACTAAAGCAATGTAGTAGCAAGCTCATGTGCATTACACTTCATTACAATTCACTCTAGCGGATTTATCTTAACGGGCTTACAGGGCTTTTCTGCGGAATTGAGCCTTTTTCTTAAAAACAAACGGAGGACCCCTAGGCCCTAGCGGATTTAGATCCGGGTCGTTACATCAAGACTTAGAAACTCGTAGCTGGATCCGTCTTGGACTCCATCGGAGACCAAGGTTGAGTTTTCTCAGAAAAAGAACTTAGAATACGACAACTCACAATAATACCAGAGGTTAAAGCTAAAGAGAGAAAGGACAGAAACAGAGCAAGACGTGCCATGGAAGTAAACTTGAAACAAAGTTTTTAGTCAGCAGTTTTGTCGTATTCGTCTCTTCTTACTCGAATATATTATACACACTAACACACATAAACTAACAAAATAACTACTGTATCAACTTTTTAAGTTTTTACATAATAGAATAAAGAAAGACTTGAGTTGAGATCAAGTCATCAAAGATCAGTATTTAAATCATTCAAAAAAAAAAAAAGATCAGTATTTAACGAAAGTCTATGTTTTCGACAATTATTGTTAAAACTTCAGAACGTGAGTTACACCTCTCTACTTATGATTTGTTGAAACCTATTGACTTTTGAACTTGTTTTAGAGTTATTACACCTCTCAAATTATGATTTGTTTAAACCTATTGACTTTTGAACTTGTTTTAAGTAATTACTAGTGTTTTTAGTTAAAGCACTAGACCCTTACTTGCGTGCAAATAAGAGGAATCAATCTCACTTTTTGTCAAAACAAAGTTTGAGAGGAATCAATCTCACTTTTTGTCAAAACAAAGTTGCACAAAAGGGACGAAAACGCACTAAACCCTTACTTGCGTGCAAAGCAATCGATGTGTACTGTATTAGCATTTCATTGAATTATATGGAAATCAAGTTTGACGCTTGAAGCGTTTTCTTTTTACTATCACACAGAGCTTATATATTTTTTTATCTGTTAAGTTTTTTGAGATTCCTTAATGAGGGGAGTGTCAAGAGTGAAGTTGTCAAGCATTTGCACAATATCCACTTTTACGAGATAATTCATATTATTTCATAACCTCAAAGATATTGAGACTTTATATCTATATTACTGGACATTCAACACCAAACAGCTTGTAAAACATACACCACAGACGAAATTTATGAAAATACATAGTGGATCAATATATATGAGAGAAACTAGGAAATCTTGAGCAAAAAGAAGAACTCTTGGGACAGTTTCACTGATTATTCGTTAAAGGTAAAAGTGTTTCCCTTGTCTAGAGACATGAAATGGAAATATACTACGACAAGAGAGATGAAGTAGAGAGCAAAGGCCAAGACACATATCCAAAATGGATAAGTCGATCTCACATAGGCCGGTACGCCTATTAAGAGAACAACGATCACAATAATGAGAACTTCTGTTGTGTAATCCCAAATTAATTCTCTTGCGTACACAATTGCCAATATAATTGAAACTCCCATCAGATTGTTCATTGTAACATCTTTGTAGATCTACACAAAAAGCAAAAAAAAAAGAAGAAGAAGAATTTAGTTTTTGATCAGTATCGATACTGATTTAATGGAGTTTCAAGAAAACTAACTAACCTCAGAAAATGCGTCAGATGTGATTCTTGCTTTGTCTTTCTTGCGACAGAAGTGAGCTGACAAGGTGCTCTTTAGGTTTCTTGCCAAAGGAATGGCTACAAAGACAACATAGAAGGAAGGAACTCCAGCTGATTCCGACAAAAGCTGGATGTTCATCATGAAAGGTCTTGCAAGATAGAGGACAATTAGAATCCCTAAAGTGACTTCCAAGGCAGCTCTCAAGGTTTTCCATGAGAGCAGCTTAGTAACAAGACTTTCCTTTGGCTTTTCTATCTTCAATATTGGATTCTCCTCCTGCAAGTATAATCAACATCTTTTTGATATTTCTTAATCTAATCAAACAGGTAAAAAAGGAATTGAGAAGATTGTTATGCACTTACAGCTTGGTCCTCACTTGGTGGCACGGTGCTATCGAAGCTGAATTTGTACTGATTCAGCCATTTTTTAATCCCAATTTTGAATTCAGCTTCATTTATCTCACCATCTCCATCCCTGTCGAAATCGGCAACCAATGTAGTGACAAGCTTATCTATGTGACACTTGACTCTCCCTAACATCCCAAACTCCACCGTAAGATCTTTCAACTCTGAAACTTGGATCTTTCCATCTTTGTTTACATCGATTCTGTCAGACAACCTGTATAATTAATAATAACCAGTAATCAAGAACACAGAAGCAGCAGAACAATTAGTGCTTAGTTTGCAATAAAATGGATTATTAAAAAACCTTTTCAAGCTCTCTTCATTTAGTTGTCCATCTCTTATAAGGCTTTTGGGGGAAAAAATCTGTAAATGCTTATGAAATTCTGACATGAGCTCAAACCTCGCGAGATCTAAGCTCTTCTCTTGGTCGGCTCTATCAAAATACTGCGAGTTTTTGACAAAGAGAAAACCTAAAGATTACCACACAAAAGATACGAATAATATTGAACCTTAACTTCATTTTTTGAGGGCAGGCTCATACCGAATAAAAAAAGTAGACAAAAGTTGCAGAAGCAGAGATTATGAGTGTGATCAAAACGATTATGTCATTCGAAGATTGTGAATCAGATATCTCTGAAAATGAGACCAATATGAAGGGTAGTATAGTCAAGAGCATAATCCCTGCCGCTTTCTTGTTCGTAGGATCTGCTTCTACGCTAGCTTTTGCAGGAAAAAAAATGAATTAGGCTCGTACATAGTTAAAATTCTCGAAAGAAACAGAAATCTTCTAAGAGTTTTAAACATACCGAAAACGTAATTTAATAGATTTTTCCAGTAAACTTGTGTTCTTGGGCAATTTACGTCCTGTATCAAATTATAATCAAACTCACTTGACGATTCATAAACTCAAAGAAGAAGAAGACAACTTACTGAATTTTCTCCAGATTCTATGGGCTGTTCTGGTTTAGAACCAGACAAGCCAAAGAGAATACAAGCTCCCCATTGCATTGTCAAAGCAAAGACAGAGTATCCCACAGTAACTCCAATGATATTACCCACCCTCGAGCTTGCCATTTCGCGGCTTCCCACCAGTCCAGTCGCTGAGATCGATCAAACCCAAAAAAAGAGCTTAATTAATATTTCTCTTTTAATACAACATATAGATTCAGAAAGCAAAAGAAGATCGAGATGAATTCTTACAGAGAATAAGCGCGATTCTTGGAAACATCGTAAGGAGAGGGAAGATGATTCCGCCATAAAAACCCACCTCGAAGATGAGAAAGAGGTTAGACCTTCCTTTAGTCAAGAAGTATTCACCGATTATCAAGAGGCAACCAAACGAGAAAACTTGGAACACATATCCTCCAACATTGTCTGCACATGGAAGAAACCCGTAGACATGTATGCATTGATTCTTGGTAATGCTGCCATTTCGCGGATCAAGACTCAGAAACTCGTAGCTGGACCCGTCTTGAACTCCATCGGAGATCAAGATCGAGTTTTTCTCAGATAAAGAACTTAAAACGCGACAGTTCACACCAGAGATCAAAACTATCAGAGAGAGAAACGACAGAAACAGAGAAAGACGTGCCATGGAAGTAAACTTGAAACAGAGTTTTTAATGAGCAGTTTTGTTGTATTTGTCTCTTCTTACTCCAACATATATATACACACAGAAACCAACCGAAACCTAATCTTACTATAGCAATTTCTTACTGTTTAGCTTTTACGTAATAGAATAAAGAAAGACACGTAATAGAATAAAGAAAGACTCTCTTGAGTTGATCAAATCTTGAGTAACTAAACAAAGACTTTGTTTTTCTAAAATTATGGTTAAATGTTAGAACGTGGGTTACACCTCTCTAATTATGATTGGCAGGGTCACCGGGGTAGATTATAGATAGATTTGTTTAGGACTATTGACTTTTGAATTCTGTATTAAATAAGAACTAGTGTGCTTAGGTTAAGGTGTGGAATCTCCAGCACATCACCTTAACCCCAAATATGAGATAGGAACTGACATTATTTTTTGTCAAAACAGAGTTGTACAATAGAGACCAAAACGCTTATTCAAAGCCCTTACTTGCGTGAAAAGCAGCTGATGTCATTCTTTTTTTTTGTCAAGACTCAAGAGCTTATATTATTAGAAAGGCTCATGGAGCCAATGCGGGAGGATGTTTACATAAGCAGCTGATGTCTACTATTAACATTTCGTTATAATATCTGGAAAATTAATTTTTAGCGTGGAGTGTTTGACGATTGATCATGTATACACTTGTATAGTAAAACCTCTACATATAAATTATTATTTGATAAACTAATAATTACTAAAATTTATTATTTTATATGATCACTATATGTAAATATATGGTCCCACCAATATCATAAATTAATAATTATATAAGTATATATATATATATATATATTATTTATATGTAAGAAAATTTAGTGAAATATGACTCTAGTCTCTAAATTGTTTGCATCTCTTAAATTTGCATTAAGTTTTAGTAGAATTTATTTCTAATATTTTTATTACATTGAAATTTTTTTGTGCTGTTTTCTAAACATAATAATTACTCCTTATGTTTTACTTGGAAGTGGTTATAAAAAGATACTAGATTTTAACCCGCGGTACACCGCGGGATGATTTATTTTTAAAGTTAGTATAAAAGTATTTTATAAATTGTATCTCCTTATAAATATTTATTTATATTAGAGTTTACAATTGTTATTAAGTAACGGTATACCACGAGTCCACGAGACAATTGTTAATAAACTGAGGATTTAACCCGTATTAAAGCGGCATGTTAATGATATTTATAAATATTGATTCAAATTCGTCCGCGATATAAACCCGTTCCAAAATATAACCCGTTCCATAATTTCTTAACCCGTCCCGTGATTTGTTTTTATTTTAAAATTTAATAATTATTTATTATATATAAAAGTTTACAAATCATAACATTCTCTAAGATATTTATATTTTAATACACTGAAGATTTAATCTGTATTAAAGCGTCATGTTAATGATATTTTAAAATTTTATAAATATTGATTCAAACTCGTTCACCATATAACTTTGTTCCGAAATATAACCCGTCCTGTAAAAAAAATTAAGGATTTAATCCGTATTGAAGCGGTGGATTAATGATATTTTAATCTTTTTATTATTGTTGATTCAAAAACTCGTCCCGCCAAACCTGTCTGGCCAAAAAACTCATTTATTTTATTAATGTTGATCTTATTTACGATATGATTCTGAATCATTGTCTAAATATTTTAATCGATGTAGAACGTTGAACGCACATTTTCGTCAATTGGATAATATATGTCCGTTTTTTAAATTTCGAATCACAGTATATGTAGAAAAAAAATTGATTTTTTGTTAACTTTATGTATTATATGATGATTCAAAACAGTTACAAACAAAGATGATAGGAGAATCATAATTCTAAATCTTAATCAAATCTTCTAAATATATAAATTATTAAATATAGAATATCTGGTGTATGAGTTGGGTTAAATATAATCCGACCCAACAAACTTTTTATGAGCAAAATTTGTAAACGGGTCGGATATCAAGATAACCCGGAAACATTTTTATCCACCCGTCACCAAAATGACTGCAAAAATACTAGTATAGATTGATTATAATGAAAATAAGTTATTTTCTAAAAGGAAATTTTTTGAAATATTACAAAATTAGTCAAATCTCTATAGTAGTTTCCTTACTTAGTGTCAATATTGAACCATTTTCACAATTTCTGCAAACTTTCATAGATATTCATAAAACCAAAAGATTTAAACTTCATATCAAGCTCTGGATGCTTAACATCAAAGAGCTGATATACATAAAATGTACACGCAACTTTCAAAATACATAGCGGATAGAAATGGTAATAACTATATGAAATCTTGGAGAAGAAAAATCATTTAGAAATATTCTCTGATTATTCTAGCCTATAGACTTGGAATGAAGATAGATCAGGACAAGAGAGAAGAAGTAGAGAGCAAAGGCCAAGACACATATCCAAAATGGATAAGTCGATCTCACATAGGCCGGTACACCTATTATGAGACCAACGATCACAATAATGAGAACTTCTGTTGAGTAATCCCAAGTCAATCCTCTAATGTACACAATCGCCAATATAATTGTTGTCCCCAACAGATTATTCAATGTAACATCTCTGTATATCTACAAAAAAAAAAAAAAAAAACCACAAAACTCATTCACTTTTGAGCTCTGATAAAGCCATGAGGTAATATCGATACCGAGTTAATTAAACTAACCTCAGAAAAAGTGTCAGATGTGATTCTCGCTTTGTCTTTCTTGCGACAGAAGTGAGCAGACAAAGCGTTCTTTAGGTTTCTTGCCAAAGGGATCACTGCAAAGACAACATAGAAGGAAGGAATTCCAGCTGATACCGACAAAAGTTCGATATTCATCATGAAAGGCATTGCAAGAAAGCTGACAATTGTAATCCCTATAGTGACTTCTATGACAGCTTTCAAGGTTCTCTTTGTAAGCAACTTAGTAAAAAGACATCCCCTTAGTTGTTCCACCTTCAAAACTCCATCATCCTCCTGCAATTATTGAAACTTTCTCCATTTCTTAATCTGATGAAACATGTAAAAAATGAATTGATGAGAAGATTGTTATGCACTTACAGCTCTGTCCTCTCTTGGTGACTCGGTGCTATCGAAGCCGAATTTGTACTGTTTCAGCCATTTTTCGATACCAATCGTGAATTCAGTCTCATCTATCTCACCATCTCTATTACTGTCGAAATCTGCAAGCAATGAAGTGGCAAGCTCATTTATATCACACTTCACTCTCCCTAACACCCCAAAGTCCACCGTCAGATCTTTTAACTCTGAAACTTGGATCTTTCCGTCTTTGTTGACATCGAATTTTTTGAACAAACTGCGTAAAAATAACCAGTAAGAATACAGAAACAGAATAAAATTAGACAAATGTTTCTTAAATTAGAACATCAAAGGGAAAAATTGTATAAAAGACCTTTTCAAGCTCTCTCGACTTAGTTGTCCATTTCTTATAAGACTTTGAGGCGAAAAATTCTGCAAGTGCTTATGAACTTCTGACATGAGCTCAAACCTCGCGTGTTCTAGGCTCTTCACTTGGTCCGCTTTATCAAAATACTGCGGGTTTGACAAAAAAAATTAAAGATTAGGCACAAAAAATATGAATCTTGAAGCTTTATATCAATTTTTTGGAGTTGCATCATTACCAAATAAACAAAGTAGAGAACAGTTGCAGAACCAGAGAATATGAGTGTGATCAAAACCATATTGTCATCCCAAGATTTTGAGTGAAATGTCTCTGAAAATGTGACCAAGACGAAAGGCAATAAAGTTAGGAGCATAATCCCTGCCGCTTTCTTGTTCTTAGGATCTGCTTTTACGCTAGCTCCTGCATAGAAGAAACCACACAAAGGACAAATTAGTCTCGCGCAAAAGATTGTCGAAAAATCAAGAATGAGAAATCAGTAGGAGATTTAAACATACCAGCAAGGTTCTTCAGTAGATTGCTCATCTTAACTTGTCGTCTTGGACTCGTTGTGTCCTGTATCAAATTATAAAAATCACTTCATGATTCTTTACACTCAAAAGAGAAGAAGAAGAAGAAGAAAAAGATCTTACAGAAGTTAAGGAGTGATCTTCTCTCACACCAGACAAGCCAAAGACAACACAAGCTCCCCATTGCATTGTCAAAGCAAAGACAGAGTATCCCACGGTAACTGCAACGTTATTACCCACCATCGAGTTTGCGATATCGCTGCTTCCTATCAGTCCAGTCGCTGAGATTAAAACCCAAATTAATGGTAAGACATTTTGTACTACTCAAATTATGTCTAGGTAATTTCTTCAAAAGAAGAGATGACTTACATAGAATAAGGGCGATTCTTGGGAACATTGTAAGGAGAGGGAAGATGATTCCACCAAAGAAACCGACCTCGAAGATGACAAAGAGCTTAGACCTTCCTTTAGACAAAAAGTATTCACCGATTATCAATAGACAACAAAAGGAGAAAACTTGGAAGACATATCCTCCAATATTATCTGCACAGGGAAGAAACCCGTAGACATGAACACAAGCACTCTTGGAGATGCGATTTGGCGGATCAAGACTGAGAAACTCGTTGCTGGCTCTGTCTTGGATTCCGTCGGAGACCAAGACCGAGTTGTTATACTCAGACACAGAACTTAAAACACGACAATTCACAGCCGAGACTAAAGCTAGAGAAAGAAAAGACAGAAACAGAGTAAGACTTGCCATGGAAGTAAACTTGAAACAGTGTCTTTAGTGAGAGTAGATTGGTCAGATCCTTCTCTTCTTACGCCGCACATATATACACACTGACACACACATTAAATTAAGCAATGTAACATGTTATTTGGAAGGGTTTTACGTAATAGAATAAAGAAAGACTAACGTTTATGAAATTGATGAAGCTGAGGTTAATATTAAAAAACTTAAATTTCACAATTATTGAGTGATTTAAAAAACGGAAATGGTACACCTCTATTATTGTGACAAGCTACTAACGTATAGTAGAATAAAGAAATATTTGTTGAGGTTTGTAAAATTATAAAATTGATGAAGCTGAGTCTGTTTTTTAGAAGTACGTGAAACGACACCTCTTTAATTATGAATCTATGATTAGCAGTTGATTATTATATTGACTTTTAAATCATTTGAACATGTGAATCAATAATCTTCATTATACAACTTTAAACGTCAATGTAGACACCGGCCAGTTTTGTTTTATCAGAGTGATGGAACTAGAAAAATACAACTTGTATATTTGTTTAGTAGCTAGAACAAGGACTTACTAGAGTTACTTGCGTAGTAAAGACAACTGTGTATTCGATGTTCAAAGATTTTATTTTCTCTGTACATTTTTCCATTGAAATCCATTAAAGACAATGATTGAAGGAATATGATGCAAAGCAATACACTCGGAAACAAAAGAGAATTTCACTCTGAGTCTCAGGAATAGCGGTGTGCGATGAGGATAACAGGGATTGTATAAAAGCTGAAGGCTACAAGGCTTGCCCATAAGGGTTAAGTGGAAGTAATAGAGGCCGGTAAACCGACAATAAGCCCTAAGAACACAACTATGAGAACTTCTGTTGAGCAATTGCATGTCAATCCTTTCGCGTACACAATCGCTAAGATTGAAACAATGGTGATGTGTACCTGTGAAAATGTGAGAGATGCTGCTTCTTGCTTTTCTCTTTTGGCACAGAAGTGAAGAGACAAAGCGTTCTTCAGGTTTCTAGCCAATGGAATCACTGCGAAAGCGACATAGAAAGAAGGGATTCCAGCTGAGGCAGACAAGAGCGAGATGTTCATCATGAAAGGCTTTGCAAGAAACACAACAATTAAGATTCCTGCAATGACTTTGATTGTAGCTATCAACGTATAACCAACACTTTTCTTCTGCTCTTCCACCTTCAGACTCGGAGCAACAGCTGCCGCCTACACAGCATTTTCAGTATCTTGAAAGTTAATAACCGAAAACCCGTAAGAGTAATGGAACAAAATGAATGTTCTTCTTTTGTAAACTTACAGCGCAAGTTACCAAACCGGCCTTTCGTTCTTTCAGCCATTTAGTGATTCCCTTAGCGAATTCATCCTCGTTTACCATACCATCGTTATCTTTATCAAACTCTTTTAGCACGGTTTTCGCAAGAGCATTCATGTCGCACTTCAGTTTCCCAAGTTTTCCAAACTCTAAAGTAAATTCATTTAGTTCAGAGATTTCCATCTTCCCATCGTTATCATTATCGAATTTATCGAACAAACTGCAGTTTAATTAAATCAGTTAGTTCTCTCTTAAAAAAAAAAGCAAGAAACAGAACAAAACAATCAATCAATGGTTTACTTTTTCAAGCTTTCCCTAGTGAGTTGTCCATCTTGCAGAATGCGTTCAAGCGAATATCTCTGCAACTTCTTTTTAACTTCGGACATGAGCTCAAACCTCGCTTTATCCAAGCTATTCTTTTGTCCACTTGTATCTACAAGCAGCAGAGATTCACAAAATTTCAAAGATTAGACACAAAAACTTGAGCTTATGTAAAGCTATAGAGTTATGCACATATGTATACCGAAAGAGTCAAGAGCAAAAGAGTTGCGGAAGTAGAAACTATCAGCGTCAGTAGAACAATAATGTGTCTCCAAGATCGCGAATCGAATAGCTCTGAAAGTTGCACAATGAGAAAAGGAATTAATGTGAGAAGCATGATCCGTGCGCCTTTCTTGGTTCTTGAATCTGTTTCCACACTTGTTTCTGCAGATTGAAAAATAATCCGAAGAAGGTCGTAAATCTGCAGAAACTACAAACAGATTCACCATCATGTTATGTACTCACCAAAAAGTCTCGTTAATAGCCCTGGCCTTGGCTTCGTTGGATTCTGTATGAAGTTGTTACACATCAGTTTCATCAGATCATTCAAAATTGTTTACTAAGTTTTGGAACTTTTAACAAATTTATAATCTCTACCTCTTCTTTTTGAACCAGTTGATCACAACCAGTATCAAAAACTCCCGTGGTCCCGAAAATGATACAAGCACCCCATTGAATTGTTAGAGCAAAGACCGATGATCCAACCGTTGCTCCAACGAAATCAACAATCATTGACTGAGCAACTTCCGGCCTTGTAGATAGTCCAGTAACTAAAAAGCAAATCCAATATCCAAGTAAGAAACTTCGATATACAAACTAAAGATCCAAGAATTTTGAAAAAAGCTTATAGAGTGAGACTCAAGCATAAGGGCAACTATAGGGAAGATTTTAAGAAGAGGGAAGATGATACCGCCATATAAACCAACCTCAAAGATATCTAAGAGTTCTGCTCTTCCTTGGGACAAGAAATAATCGCCGACAATCAACAAAGACCCGAAGGAGAAGACTTGGAATGCATAGCCAATGACATTTTCTGCACAGGGAAGGAATCCGTATAGGTGTACACAAGCTTCTCTGGTAAGAGTCACGTTAATCTTGGGAGGTTCAAGACTGAGAAACTGTAGTTGATTGTTGAAACCATCAGTGATCATCAATATCGGGTTGTTCTCTGACAGTTTGGGGTCGAGAACACGACAGTTCAGACTAAGAATAGAGGCTAGAAATAGAGAAGTCGGGAACAGAACAAGTTGTGCCATTGGAAGAGAGGAAGCATGGGCGTTGAAAATGAGAATGTCATCGTCAAATATATAACATGGAGTGACAATTTAATTGTTTAAACAGAGTACAAGACTACAAGGGATTAAGAGATTATTTACAATGTAATCTTTTCTTACTATTAATCTGGCATGATTGATAAATCTAACTTTCTTGCAGTAGAAGGACAGTTGACCTCCCAGAAAACGTTGTTGCAGATAAAAAAAAAACACAATAATTACTAATTAGTCATGGAAAGGAGAAACCAAAAAGAAAGGAGCCTAAAAGAGCCAAAACTTGTACGGACAAAATGACAAACACTCTGTTATACAAGAACCGGAAAAAATGTGTCATAAAGAATCCTTTGAAATTACCAGTAGCCTCTTCTTCCACGGCCACCACCACCGTGTCTTCCATGACCTCGGCCTCGGCCTCTGTGACTGCCTCTACCACCACCGTATGAGATTCCCTGAGATGTTTTGTTCACAACCTGATGATTCTCCACACGAGCCTTCTTTGCACCCACATTATTACCGGCTCCATTTGCAGGCCGTTTTCCTCTGTGTTAGAGCCACATGAAACATGCAAAACATTAAGTTTTTTTTCCACATTTGGAAGACAAGAAAAGAAAACTGCAAAACTGACAAAGTTGATTTGGCTAGTACCCAGTCGTTGTAGAGGCTAACGGTTTCGTGACTTCTTTCCAAGAAAGAGTAACACTGGTGTCTCCGATAAATGAAGGCGCTTTTGCATGCAATCCCTGTAACATACCAGACAGTTAATGCCTATTACGCATAATTTACTAGAAAGCAAGGGACAAAAAGAGGTAAGAAGATATGGCTCTGTTTTTCACCTTTGTCATTGCCAATATGTTATTGCAGGTCCTGAGTCCAGTTGTTGCACTCTGCTTCTTCATTTTCTAAAAGCAGCTTCGGTTACATTAAACCAGGAAAAAAAGACAACATGGAATGGAGAAAGAAGGAGTGGGAGTTAGTGTTCTCACCACGCTTGACTTCTCTTCATCTGTCTTAGCAGCCGACATGGCTTTGCTATGCTCAGACATCCCTTGAGTTAGTTTTTTCATTGTTGCCTTGGTTAGATCCTCAACACTGGTCAACCTGCAACGTCCGCTTTCATTACAACAGTATTTTTGAAACAAATTACCAAAAACTATTTCTTACAAAAAGAAAACTGAATCTCAAAAATACCTCTCAGTGAATTCCTTGTAAAACTCTGAGAAGTCCTCCCCGAGTCTATCTGATGGCTGCCCGGTCACTATCTTGTAGCCGCACAAGCTGTTTGTTGCATTTGGAGCCTATATGTTCAACAGAAACAGATAAGTAAGAAAGAACAAAAAGATACCTGGCCAAGCAACTAAAAATAGTTAGACAACCTTGTGTGCCAAATGATGAAGCACATATAATAGGCACTCGACATATGTGAAGTTCATTTCTTCCCCAGTCTTCCTAGCAGGCATGTACTTCTGAGAGCAGAGGGTAACAGTAAATAGTGTTTATATTCAAAATAAGAGACTGCAGTAGAATATAATATACACCAGCGAAATGATAACAGTAAATAATATATTTCCATAAATTAATTATAAAAGATATGAAGACAAGATGAGAATTTGGTGCTTAAGAGGTACCTTTAAGAGCTGAACTATTGAGGGAAGCATCTGACGTGCTACCTGAGCGGTTGTGTATGGTGACATCTCAGCAAGAGCTCTGAGCAAATTAAGCTTCCTCTCCTCTGGCAGCTAATAAAACAGGGTTTGGTAAATATTATGCTGAGTAAGAATGCTCACGCATGGAGTATAATATATATTTTACCAAATGAATGAAGAAGATAGACAAGTGGCAATATTATTTATGAACAAAAGAGTTACATGCAAGTTGAGAGTAATTCAGATTTGACTTCATACCCTCAAAGCCATTAAGGCTACTGTCAAACATGTAAACGAGAAGAAAAAAATTACAACGTACCTTGTCAAAATCAGGCATGATATTCTTGTTCAAGTAGCTAAGAAACTTGCTACCTGGAGCACCTCTCTGTTCAGAAGAGGACGAAGTTAGTATGATTTATGGTTCAAAGCATCTCAACTAATAAAATATCCAAGTGCTATGCAGCAATAACTCTGATTCCATACCACAAAGAATGGAAGAGCTGTTTGCAGGCATGATATAAACCTGTCAATATGATCTGTATCTGAAACCTGGCAAAAAATAGTATTTGAGCATCAGAAGTAGTTCCATGGCATGATAATGTAATCATCTAGCCTATACTTCCAACCTTTACTATCACCATACTAGGTTTATAATATTTACTAAGGTAAAATCTTAGTAGATATTCCCATAGTAACTAAAACAGATGCTATCAAAGTTTATGACTCGACTCCTAGAGTCAGATTTGCACCAAGACAACTGCAGACCCCTTCCCTATGTTCATTCCTAGACTGAGCAGTATACTAGACTTCAAATACTAGTATGATTTCATGAAAATTTAGTGGCAACTTTCTCACATACTAGTACTATCAATGAGCCCTCATTAAATATTCACGCAATATAAACAATGGAAACTAACACATGCAACAATTCCACCTGTAAAGATTGTATATCACTTATAAGCTTTTTGTCAAGAGAGAGTGAAGTCTATGATAGGACAAGTATTCCTTTTTTTGTCAACAAGCTAGGACATGTATCCTTTTCATCTCACAAACTTGGAAAAGACTAGCCAACTTTATTCCTAGATAACAACGACTAATTGTGCAACTAAAAAATCAATAAACATCTGGAGGAATAATTATTACTGATCGTATTAAAGCAAGAAACTTTTGTCCACCCCCAGTAAGAATATGACATGAGAAACTCACATTAAACTGTGAATCCAAATCGGCCTGTCCTTCAACAATTTCTACAAGTTCTTGCATTCTTTCTTGAGGAGATTTTCCTCCAAATATACTCAAACTTGTCAAGAAACCCATAAACATATTGAATTCTTCTCCAGTTACATCCCCTAGGCTCTAGAAACAACCAAAGAACGTCATAAAAGGGAAGAAAAGAAAGCCAGAAAAATAGAAACAATGAAACTCCATGTGGCCAAACCTTTTTGATCAAATCAGTTATATGTCTTTCCATTTCCTCTTGAGGCTTTAACAGTTCCCCTTTAAGAGGGAATACCTACATGGAGATACAAAGTATATTAAAATCCGATAGGATATACAAAACCTTTCAAGTGATTCCTTACGTTCCCATTAGCTTGCAGTATCAGAAAAAACTTCATTTTACATCTTTTATATAAGAAATATTTCTCAATGATAAACAAACTTCCAAAATAGAACTCCACTAAAACATGGTAGCTATCAGCACCAGTACCTACTCAAGTTGATTTGGCAGTATATTCTGTACTTGTTCTTAGCAATAGACCGAAAAGATTATATGCAGTACAAGTCTAATTCATTGTTTATATCAGCAAACGAAAAGATCAATATAGGTAATTTCATTAAGTCAAGTCGAGCTAAGATATAGCAAAACCTCAAAACAGAAAAAAATGTAGAAAAGACTCTGACCTTATCTCTGATAAAGTGTAAGACCTTTTCACGGATTTGCTCATCAGTACTAATAGTGGCCTCAGTATGCTTAAACAATGCAGTCAAAGATGCTACACCAAAAAAATTTAAACATAAGAAGCTGTAATTTACACACTTATCTATATGGTTTATAAGATGGACTGAGGGACACACACTATAGATAGCACAATATCTACCATAAGACTGAAAGACCAATTATAATTTTCTCAAGTACATTGCGGCTGTAAGATGAATTGCCATCTTCAGAAGATGAATGCAGAAGAAATCAAATTACCCTTTGTATCCTGCCGAAATAATGACATAAATGCCTTGTGTACAGCATCACGCTCCACCAATTCCTCTATTTAGATCACATTACTCAGAGTCAGATGGTGAAAACAAATTAGGTAGATCAAGGTTAGGTAACAAAAATCTCAGAATTACCAGTATTTAGACATTGTACAAGAACATCAATTATCTTCGATATAAACTCAGGTGTATCCTTGCAGAACAATGGAAGCCCGCGGATGGCTTGAACTCGTACCTACAAATAAGAACAAAATGATACTTTTTAATTGAAAAGAACAAATACGCAGAACCAGGTCTTTCTCCTCTCGAAAATAAAATAAAAACTGTGAGTCCTGACTCATCTCAAATTCGTGTGTCACATACAAAACAAGCTATAAAGAAAAACACACACAGAAATAAACACTTCAGTTATTTGAATCCAGCTTAATTCTCCCAAGTGTAACTAATTTTGAACCATACAAACTAAACGAAGTTCATCTATAATGCACTAGCAAACCTACATCTACTTTTTGCTTCTGCATAAATCGTATGAGTAAGAAGACTAGGTACATACCCCGACTTCCACTTCGTCGATTATATCCATGTAAGCATCAAAAGCTTCTGTTGCGAGACTGGTGAAGAACTTGAAGTAGCGTGGAATCAGCTGTGCTCCAAGCTGCTTGGTCTTGATGTTTGTCTTAGACAACTCGATAATCCCTTCATAGTCTTGAAAATTCTGCAAACCATGAGAATGTCATAGAAAACGATCAAACACACAAGAAACAAACCAAGCAAGCCAAAACCCAACCACACCAGTGTCCATTTTCAGACCGATTATACCCAAATCCGAAGCAAAAGACTCCTTCTCAAACCAGAGATGATTCAAGAGAACAACGAACAACTAAATCAAACAGAGAATGGCTAATATCAAATCCAGGACTAAAACAAAACCCTAGGTGAAATAGAGACGAACCTGAGACTTGTCCGTAGACTCGCTCAAGCGCTCGTCAAACTCATAAAGCTTCTCTATATGTTTAGCATCTTCGGAATACTGTTCTGACATTTCGGAGAGCTCTAGATGAAGCTGAGACGGAGAAAATCAAAGAAAATGATTATATATACACAGTTGGTTTCACACATGTATTCACGTCTTTGTACACATAATAATGAAAAAAAAAAAAGCTTCGGGAGAAAGATGAAGAAGTGGAAGAAGATGAGACCGTACATGGCGATTTTGGAAGAGTGAAGAAGGTTGATAGAGTTCTCTCGCAGAGTAGGCCAAGGGTTTCTGGGTTTATTGCTCTCGCCCTTATTGTTTAGCTTCAAGGAGAAAGAGGGGTTTATGTGCCCTTCCCTTAACACGATGTCGTTTTGTTTCAAATTTTGAGTTTTGAAAACAACACCTTTATTTATCATTTCTTTAAAATTTGTCCCAGAAATTTACTATAGAACAAATTAATCATAAGCACTAGCTCAATGTCTCTTTCGTTGATTTCTGGTTCGATTCTTATCTGCCCCAAGCTTCATCAATCTCCGTCGTATTTGAGAATCTCTTCTTCGCCGCCACTTTCTCTCTCTTCCCGTAGTAAGTCTTCTTCTCCCCACCAGTTTTCTCAAATCTCACGCCCGATCAAAGTCACCGCGAGAAGCGCCATGGAGACGACGGCGGAGACAATTTCCGGCTGTGTTCCCAACAATACAATGAAGCTATTGTTCGTTGAGATGGGTGTAGGTTACGATCAGCACGGGTACGTTCAAATCTACTCTCAAAATTTCGCGTCTTGAATCGATCATACCGATGTGAGATTGAATTTTGAAAATGTTGAAAAATAATTCAAAACAGGCAAGACGTGACATCTGCGGCTATGAAGGCTTGCAAGAATGCAATTTCTTCGAATTCGATTCCTGCATTTAGGAGAGGTACTAAATTCTCTCTTTCACTTAGTTTTGTTCTGAAACTACTCTAGCAATTTGTAACATAAACCATTTGGGTTTCTTTGGAAATAGTTGACTTTTAACTTGACTTAGTGGCGTTGAATGTGTCCAAGGTTCGATTCCTGGAGTTTCATTTGGAGAAATGAAGTTGCAGATTAAGCTTGGAGTGCCTCATTCTCTTCACCAGCAGCTGGATTTGGAGAAGGTTAAGTCTATCTTCCCATAGTAAGTTCCTCAAGTAACCTCCTCTATCATAGAGTTTCTAAACACAGTTGTTGTCTTTCCAGAAGAAACTTGAGTTCTTTGTTTCAAGTATTGCTGTGGAAAGTTGGAGTTTAAATTTATGCTTTGTGCTAGATATAAGTTACCTTTGAAGTTGGGTTAAGATTGGTGTTGTGAAAAGTAGACAGAAACGAGCATTAGCATTTACTTATTTGATCCTGTATAGTGTTTGTAGGAAAACATCTCTCATTGACTCATTGTGTTACTTTTAGTCTTTGAGTCAGCTTTATCTACCATGTTATCACAATCATTAGTTCCGTTTTTTCGTTTGAAGTGGGGAGATTGTGAATGTGGAGGTGGTGGATGGAGGAATGATTTGCTCAAGCGGCGTTCTAGTTGAAGAAATGGGTGATACAAATGAAGATTGCTACATAGTGAATGTCGCAGTCTATGTCGGCTACTAGTCTATCGTTCTTGTATGGTCGACCCCGGGTTAGAGCATTGTCATCCTCGTCGATAGAAGAGAAAAACGAGAACACTTCAGTCACTTTTAGTTGTTGTATATTTTGATTTCAGAACCATTTTTGGTTTGTAGGCGTGCATCTATATCACAATTTCAGTTTAAACATTGGTTTGATTCACACTCATATTCTGTAAGTTGAGTGTCTTACAGATTCAGTAAATGGTTGCAGCGTTTGGTGCGGTCTAGAAATAATTGCGTTTGCCTCAAATCTCTAAAGTCCGCGGGAAAGTTTTGCCTCCTTAAACCTAAAAAGTTTTATAGCTAAGCATAAGTTTTATATACATGTGAAACCAAAAAAAAAAAAAAAAACTTGCAGAAAAATGAAAGGGAATAAGAAGATTAGTTCGATTTTCGAGAATCGCCATGTATCTGCGTCTCAGGAGGTTTATCTACAGCGATGCGGCTTCGCCGTACCGGGTCAACCACCTCAAGATTCCGATCCTTCCGCCGGAGTCTCGCCACCACCGTTAAACGACGGAATTCCATCTCAGCGTTCGTCCGATGATTCGGAGACGGATAGTGTAATCGGTTCGGGTCACGATGCGGTGGAGAGTCAGGCGATTCGATTCGTCTCTTCGGAGGAAAGCGTGGACACCGTTGATTTAGAGGAGGATGTTGCAGATCCAACGGTTGAGGTTTTGGCGGAGGATAAGCAGAGTGATGTTCCTCTGGAATCTGCAGCGAAGGAAGATAGAAGAAAGAGACTTAAGCTTCCTTTGAGAGATGTTGTAAAAGCCATTGTTATGAATTCGAAGAACACAGAGGAAGAAGAAGCTGACAAAGAGATTAAGAAGTTGAGCTGTGTGCAAATCCTCTTACAAAAGGGATTCAAATTTTAAGGTGATTTCAATTGAAATTTCATGTGTTTTTGTGTTATCTAGGGTTCTCCAAGATCAATTTTCTTGTGATAGTAGAAGTCAGGGGCCGGCCCAAAAGATTTGGATGCCTAAAGCCCAAAAATTTTTTGTTGCCCATTTACCAACAAAAATACAAAAAAATGTTAAAATTTCGGTAAAATACGACTCGAACTCGCCACCTCCTGCTTATAAATGAGACAATAAGCATTGCACTACGAGACTTTTTCTAACAAATGATGTCCCTTAAAATTAAAATATAATCTGATGCCTAAAGCACCTGTTTGATGGGCTTTAGGTCTGGGCCGGCCCTGGTAGAAGTCATGATCTTACTGTTGTAGTTCTTGACAAAGATGGGGATGTAATTAGAGTTTTTTCTTGTACAATTTGAATATCAAATTAAGCAAAGAGTTACCAAATCAATGTGTTATTTATACTGAGAATGTCTCTTTTGTTTTTGAATCTTTTTTTCTATTGCATCACACAACACTAAACGATTTACGATAATTGTTTTGTTTTGTTTCTCCCCTCCAAGAATGTCATTTACAGAATAAAGGTGTTATGCATTTTCTTTATAGTTGTGATTCTTATACTTCACATTGTAAGGGCTGCGTAGAGGAGTTGGTTCCATGTATCGGGCAACCCGGGGAGGCACCAATGGCTGCAATCTGTTCCTCCATCGCCACCATAAGAAGAAGGATGAGCATCTTTTCTCAACTGAGACAAAGTGGTGATATCGAGCAAGGTTACTGGCTTTTTCATCGAATTCAACACTTTGGAGACGACTCCTGCAGATGGAGGCTGACCACTTGGGTAACTTGATCCACCCAACGGCTGCATTTGCCCACTACAACTCTTCCGCGGCTCGTTCCATTCCCTTCCCCTGTCACCCACAAGAAAGACATTGGTCCATAGAGGTTTAGGGTTCGAAAAGTATTTTCTCAAACTGTATGTAATGACATAATTAGATCTCAATTGTTTGTTTGCGTTTGAAACAATTGAAACTCTAGTGGACTTACTCGTAATGAGTGGGAGAAATTCCTTGGAAGAAAACTCTAGTTTTGGTAGTATCTACGTTTTGATCAACCCATCGAGCCCAAGTACTGAGTCCTTTGTAGAAAGCATCAAGACGGTTCATGTCTCTCACCAAAGACGACCCATCTCGAATATAGTCCCACCTAAATCCATACAACAACAAGAAAAAAGAGAAAGATTCAACATTAAGTTATGAATGATATATTGATATGATATATATTTTGGGTGTAGATTAAAGATGTTATATTAATGGTACTACGGACCCTTGAGATTGGCCTTTATGAGTCCACCAATGCCAAGAGTTGAAGACAAGAACGTCCATGTTTTTCCAAGCATTAGCACCTCCTTCAATAGCTCCAAGGTTAAGCACACGCCCGACTTTCTCTTTGGATATATCTACTATGTATGGTGTTCTATATAGGTGTAAAGTTACTCCATATTCCTGATTATTTTCATAACAATAAAAAAAATACATCAGATTCGTTCAAGATTTTATAAAAATATTCAAAATATTTAAGGAAGAGAGTTATTAAATGAAAGAAAGAAAAAAAAGTGTCACAGAACAATGAGAATAGTTGTAAAAAAAAAAAAAAAAAAAAAAAAAAAGAGAATAGTTGTAAAAAGTAGACAGAGGGAACAAGAAAGAACAAGTTGGACTGTTGGAGTTGTTAGTGTACCTTTACGTATTCACTTGTTTTTATTGTTATTTCTGGTAAAACATCTGTGAATTATTAAAAGTAATACCAGGAATAATAATATTTCAGAAAAAAAAGAGACAAAATTTCATAGCATAGTGGTAAATAAATAGTGTACGACTTATATATTTAAATTAATTAATAAATAAAAAGAAAAAGAGTTTGGAGAGCCATAGGCCCATAGCTTTCTTCCATATCAAGTGAAGTAGACAAGTCATTTCATATTGTTTTCAGTTTCGTAATTGATGAATGATAAACTACTTTGCACAAATATGGTAAATATAACAATAGCTTTCGAATGAAGAAAAACAAATAAAAGTTTGCACGAAATAAGAAAATTTTGTATGGTTCTATCGAATCTTCTATACTTAATAATACTTCCGGTATATGTAGATGAAGAAAAGAATCAAATAATGCACTAATATTACTTTCTTTTTCTTAAATATATTAAGCAAGTGGATGTGATCGAACACGAACAACAACCATATGTTAATAAGCATTATTAGCACCAACCTGCTTTTTCAATTCTTTTCTAAATGACGAATAAATTACATAGTCCGTGACTAATAGTGCCATTCTTCAATATTAATGAAAGCCAAAATTCAATTTTCGTTCATGACAACTAATCCTCGTGAAGATTGATAAATAGATTTTTGTTTTTATCCAAAGAACAACACAGATTTTATATATATATATATAAAAAAAATTAAAAAATTAAAAAAAACACAGATTTTATATAAACTATTTTTAAGAAACAAAGAAAGAGAGACCTGGAAAGTGAGAGTAGAGAGTGGGGTACGCTTGAGAAAAGTGGTCTTGGCGTTTGGTACCGACGCATGTATCATACAGGCCAGCGATTCCCACATGTTTAAACTCAGTGAGTCTCCGACGAACATGACTCGTTTTCCTCTGTATTTCCTCAGAAACGCCCCACCGTCGAACCTAATTACGTAATTAATTAACAATTCATTAACCATGCATTTGCATATATTAGTTTAATTTAATACTACAACTTGATGGTATCTTTTTTTTTTTTTGTTAATAATTCTTGATAACACAAAATAATAATCCACTTAATCACTTTTGATATAATATATTAATTAAAACACTCCTTTTCATTTTTTAAAAAAGAATATAAATCAAATGCACTATAATCCACGTTTCTTTAAAACAAAAGTGCATGTAAACATATCAACAGTCCGACACCAACTTCTAGTAATTATACAATATATATAAGGGAATATTGTTATAAACCACATGTTGGATGGACTCCATAACCGTGGACCTTATGCATATTCTAGAAGGCCCATGTCCATGTCCTAGAAGGCCCATGCCCATGTTCTTGAAGATTCTCCTTATGACGGCCTATATTGTACTTAGTGGGCTTTTGGGCTTTAGGGTTTACTAGCCCAATGGGGATTTGTCTCCCCTCATCATGTATATATATGTATCGAAATCTCATTCATTAATCAATAGAACAACACAGTTCACAACACGTTATCAGCACGACTTGCTCTTAACGAAAACCCTAAAACCCTAACCCTAAAAATCGTGGCACTGTTCATCGCCGACACTGTTCATCTCGGTACTGTTCATCGCCGTACTGTTCATTGCCGACACTGTTCATCGCCGACACTGTTCATCGCGGCACTGTTCATCGCGGTACTGTTCATCGCGGCACTGTTCATCGCGGTACTGTTCATCGTGGTACTGTTTGCGGTTCGTTGCAGCAGCGTGAGTTACCGAGGTCTTTAGCTCCCGGTTCTAGTCCATACAACCCCATAAGGTGAAAGGTAACATCAAAACCCTAAAGCTAAAGAACCAACAATTGAACTTGAAAGTTAAGCAAAGAGAAACCCTAAAACGAATGATGATTGATTAAGTGATTGCTTTGCTTGTATGATTTGATTGCTTGCTTGATCCGATTGCTTGTTTGCTCGATTGTTTGACTCGTTTATGTTGCTAGAAAAAGTTGATTATCGCTTAAGCTAAACTCGCCTAATTTGCTAGAGAAGTTTTAATTGTCTAAACCTAAAATCGCAAAACGAAAATACATAAGCTAATAACCGAAACTTTAAAGGTCTAAAAACCTAAAACCTAAAACGAATCTAATCCAAAAATTCCATAAGTTTAAATCGGCTTGATTGAGATTGTTTAGGTTGTTAGATTGTTTGCTCCTTTGATTGATTACATGCTTAACACCCTAAAACTAAAATTGCATGAACCCTAGAAAACTTAGAAAAGATAATCCTAAAAGAAATCTCAAAACCCTAAAACCTAAAATCCTAAATAAAATAGGAAACCCTAGATAATAGGAAATCTTAACAACCCTAAATCCTAAATAGGGAATCTTAAAATCCTCAATAAAAAAGGAAACTTTAAAATCCTAATAGAAAGCATGAAAACCTAAATAAAATCCTAAATCCTATTGTACTCTAAATCCTAATTAAATTAGGAAATTCATAAATCCTATTCAAGATAGGAAAACTTTAAGAAATAGAAAATTTCCAAATCCTAATTAAAATAGGAAATCTTAAAATCTAAAATCATAAGTGAAATAGGAAAATTAATCCTAAAGTAAAGAGGAAAGTAAATCCTAAAAAGAAAAGGAAAAGTTAATCCTAATCAAAAGAGGAAATCTAATCATAAGCAAAAGAGGAAAGTCAAATCCCTAAGTAAATCGATTCATGGTTCGGTCTCAAATACCGCATGACACTAACGATTACATGATTTTGACTCAAAACTTTTCCTTGTAGATGTTGAATTACAACTTGTACTTTACTGCCCTAAATCTCTTAGGAGATAATTATTTTAAAATGGGCAATGGATACTAAGATTATCCTAAAGTCAAAAGGACTTGGTGAATGTATCTAATAAGGTAAGAATGCCAAGAGAGAAAGATAGATACAAGGCAATATTAGCCACCATCTTATTGAGAGTCTCATAATCCAGGACTATAAGTCCGTGGATGAGTCTATTGCTAGATGAAAAAAAAAAAAATAAAAATAATGACTTACAGATAAAAACAGTGAGTTACGACCTCATAGATTAACCCCATTACCTAATGCCAATAAGGACGCAGAGGATAAGAAAGACGTGCAGAACATCTAAACATCTAATCGATGCTTATCAAGAAATGATAAAGAAGAATCCCGAAGCCAATTTGGCTCATCTCGATGGTGATGGAGATTTTGACCATGAGAACGATGACCAATTGGAGTATGAGACTTCGGATTGCTTAAGAGAGGAAAATTAAATTCGACATCTTGTGTTTTAATTTGCTTTATGCTTT